GATACTTCGAATGAAGTCTGCGAGGGTCTGTCTCTCGCTGTCAGAGCCGATAGAGCATGTGGTGGCCGGAATCTGGCGTTCGTATTGTGATGACCGCTGCTGCAGCGTACGTTCCATCGTAGCTGCCTCACTGATAAACTGGGAGAGCCCAGCGAAAAGCTGTTCTTTTACTCCGCGCATTAAACGTCACACCTTCTTTTCCTCAGGCATGGCAGGGTCCGCACGCTTGAAGAGCCGAAGCATGTCCTCGACAAACATGGATACACGTTCGTTCGGCCATTGGGTTCTGCTGGATATGGCTTGTTCAGCCCTCTGCTTCCTTTCGGTGTTGCGATAATCGTCACGGAGCTGTCGTGTAAACTTTTGTTATGTTGCAAAGGAGCCCTCGGGGTTCTCGTACCACGTCTTCGCAGAATCCTCCAAGTAGAAGTAAACTCGGCGCAGCTTGCGAACATCGTCCCATTCGTTGATACTGGCAACCCGATCAAAGTGGTCTAGCCAGTCATCAACGTCCTCGAAGATGTCTCCATGGAACGGCTGTGGTGTCTGTGGCACGTGAAAAACATAGGCGAGAAGAGAATCATGGCCATCGCTGGTTTGGACCGCCTGGCTTGTCATCGCAGTTGCCACGTTTCTGGGTGTCGATGCCAAGGAACCAAATTCAGGGGGTAACCCACACAGGCGGCCGCTCATTCTTGCTCTGGGAGATGTAGCTGTCTCCACGATGGCCGACACAGCCGAAGTACACGTACCCAGCACTTCCACCAGTTATGTCACGAACAAAACAAGACCTGCAGCCAGGAGTTCACTTGAATCAGCGCAACGAAGATGTTCTCTTCTTCTTCGCGCCCCAAAATGCGTATGAGCCACAGTGGCTCATTCATCAATAATGGCAAAATATATATATAAATATATATATATATATATATATATATATATATATATATATATATATATATATATACATATATATATATATATATATTTATATATATATACTGCCACGCTGCGTTGCTGGCAGAAAAAGCGAGCGTAGAGGTTAGTCGCTCTCGTGGCAGAGTACGCAGCCACTCGCTTCGAGTTCGTGTTGATAGTTTCCTCCCACGACAGACTGGCGGTGGTGCTGGGTATTGCGATATTCTTTGCCTGTTATTCTGAACAAAAAGAAACGAATGCCACTGCACTAGGGTCTGCTGATAGTTTTCACTGAAAATTCCGCCGCCTTCAAAGACTACCTTCTCACTACGTTTTTTTGACAAGTTTCATGAGGCCAAAGTTTGCCACAGCGGCAGCCAAACGTTACATCACCCCTTCGCTGGCATACTCAGTGTCATCGAAACGCCTGACACTCCAAATTCCCTCCACGGGGATGTCGGTGGATATGTGGAAGACTGTCTCGACCAATTCGACCAGGTCGCTACCATCAACAACTGGGAAAATCATCCGAAGTTGAAGAACGTCTGCATCTCCCTTGTAGACGTGCCAAGGTTGTGGTATGAGAACCACGAAGCTTCATTCATGAGTTGACAAGGGTTCCATCGGCAGCTTCATGATGCCTTCGACAGCCACAAATGGAAAGAAAGGAGGGGGCAGGCCCTGTATTCCCGCTTTACCTCAGCAACAACTAGTTTGATTTACTAGTTGCTACCACCCACGACCGGCTACCGTCTACAACAACTATTAAAGGACGATTTCACCTTCATCTGGCGTCCTGAACAAACGTACGCATCCGAAGCTTTCAACAATGCCTAGAGACGCCACCGATCCTTGGCCATTTTGACAACGAAGCGGACACAGATGTCTACATTGATGCGAGTAAACTTGGCCTCGGAGCTATTCTCGTGCAATATTATGATGGAGTGGAACGCGTCAATGTTTACGCTAGCCACCCGTCGCCTTGTGCGCAAAAAGTTACTCAACGACTGAAAAAGAATGCCTGGCGGTTGAATGGGTTCTTACGAAATTCAGGCCATACCCGTACGGACGCCCCTTCCGAAACGTCAGTGACCACCACTCTCTCTGCTGGCTGGCGAGTCTGAAAGATCGTCCAAGTCGTCTCACAAGTTAGAGCCTTGGGTTACAGGAATTCTATGCAACTATAGTTTACAAGTTTAGAAAAAAAAAACACACCGATACCGACTGTCCTCACCACGCCCGTCAAGATCGCTGCAGAAGACGAGGATGAGAAACTGCCTTGCAATTATAGCATCACTGCACGTGGCTGAGCAGCAATGTGGAGACCTAGAACGTTTACCACTGATTGAATACCTTGAGGGACGTCGTCCACAACATCCACGCCAGTGGATGATGTGGACGCAGAAATTTGGCAGCGAAAACATCCTCTACGAGGGCAACTTTCACCATACGAAAACTGTTTACCTTCCAGCCTTTCATGCTGCTCTCCGCAATGACGTTGATCCTGTGGCTGAGCGGTACGACACACGCAACAGCAGCGGCCTACCACCCGCAAACCAACTGTTTAACCGAACGCCTTAACAAAACACTTAGAACTATTATTTCAGTATATGCCGCCAGGATCAGAACAATTCAGACGAAATGCTTTCGTGTATCACATTTGCCTACAACACGAATTTTCACGAAACTCCCAGCTTTGCTCTTTCTCGTCTGATTCACAGCCGCAACGTCACCACAATGCTTGACACCGTGCTGCAACCAACTCTGCCGGGCATTACTGCCCCAAATGCAGATGTATTTGTAAAGCATTTTGAACCAGTTCACCAGCCTGTGCACTTTCGCATTTTATCGCAGTAAAATCAAGATGCTCGCCTGTACAACGCCCATCACAGAGCTCTAACATATGAACCGGTTGACCTAGATTCGGTTTAAACTCTCATACGTAAACTTGGGAGCTCAGAGACATGATCTCGGAACTTCGGACCCTCCAGAGTTCTTCATCGTCTTGGTGAAGTCAACTGCAAAGTTGTCCCAGCAGACACTTCGCACTGTTCTCGAAGACCGCGCTCCTCAAATTTGGTGCATGTCACCATGTTGAAGCCGTACCATTTGCGATGACTGCAAGTCACAAATTCTGTGATGCGGAACTTGCCTTGAGGACCTTTGTACGTTTTTTTAATCGCGCTCTTGTTTTAGAGCTGTTTTTTAGAGCTGTGGCATTCTTACGATGCATTCTTCTTTTTATTGCGAATGCATTACTTAGTTGGGCTATATGTCAGGCATCCGGCGTTGTCCGCAGCGGTGTCCGCGCGTCGGCAGGTGTTACCTCGCCACTCTTACCCCTCTCTCATGCCAATAGCTGCGGGCGCGTGCGCTTATCCACGCCTCTAGCAACCGGAGCATGTGGAGCGAGACAGTTGTAGAGGGTAGTTACGTGCAGTGCTTGGCTGCTCCTTCTCTCAGCACTTGCTCTCTCTTCTCCCTGTCTCCCTCTCTCGTTTGCCCACGCCTCACTTTCGACATTTCACTGGCTTGGCGCCTCTCATGGACATCCGAAAATATGTGCAAGAGAAGCCGCTGTGAAACGCCAACGCTAAGCAGAGAACGCTGGCGCCTCACTCACCCATCTGCTCGCTGCTCACTCTAGACCATTCGCTGGCTGAGCGCCCCTCAAAGCGATGGGAAAAATCAGTGAAGACGAATGTCTCACGGCAGTGGTACCCTATCTCGGTGCAAGAAATGCATGGGCATTTTCTAAGAATTCTTTTCGGGCAGGTGAAGCCATTTTTCACGCTATATATCTCAACCAGGTGACATCGCAACGTGGCTCTCCATTTCATGGATTATCTTGAGACGGCTCGCTGCTGATTCTTTTTTGCCATTAGCACTTCACCGCGTCCTTTACGGTTAGCTCGTTTTCTAACGATGGTATCAAAGATAAGTAAATTATTACGCCGTGAGAACTCTACTAATGGCTCCCCTCTGCACTTTTAGAGCCGATGCGATGTTCCCTCATGGCTTGGTCTCCAGCCTGTTTCTTTCCTACTGTGGCAATAAAGTCACCCATCAGATTAGAATAGTGTGACTTTACTTGATTAATGACTGATTCTACATCACCATAGAAGTGTTCAACAAAATGGTCATAGGTGCGTAGACCTGTACAACCTTCAACTGGTACTTTTTGTTAAACCTAATTACAATAGTTGTCTCCCTCTCACTGAAGCTAGAGTAATATTTTATGTTTTAGGCAATATTTCTGTGTTTGAAAAAATGCACCACTATGTTTTTTTTCTCTCGAATAATTCACACTAGCATACGAAGTGTCCGTTCTTCAGTGCTGTAGAAATCTCACTTGTCCTCCTAAGTTTTTTTCCTCTATTACATCCCATTTAACGCCCTGATTCCTTGAATAGCACAGCTAGACTAGCCTCACTAAATAGTGTTCCAGCATTTAACGTATCCAAGTTTAGTTCAAATGTCATGTCATGAGGAACTATTGATGTCGTCACAAAGCACGAGTAAATGTTACGTCGTGCTCAAGTCTTATGCTGATGTCATCAGGAAAAAAATTACTGAATATCTCTTGTCAATGACACCTACGCTGAAAGGTGACACAACCAACTGTAAATTTTCAAATATAATGAAGCATTGAAAAGGCTAGTCCTAGTTTAAGTATACTGAAAATAAGAAAGAATTGTTGTGCGAATCGAAGAGATATCGGGCTTTTTAATAAGTACAAGGAGCTGTGTGGGGTAATGAAAGCCTTTTGCATCTGTTATGAAAGGCAGAAGTGCAAGAGATCGGACATGTTGAGTTTTTAACTTCAACTTGTTCAGCGCATAACATAAACAACAAAAAAAATGACCGAGCCGGTGAACACCAAGGAGCAGAGCACTCTGGTTTATTTTGTTTGCCGGCTCGACCAGATGTTTTTCCCACTATGCGTTTAAGCAGTTCAAGTTGTTGTGATGGCTTTTAAAGGCACTGTGTTACTTTCGTTACAAACATGCTAGCAAGATATTAAGCCAGTTTCGTAGGCATGAGCTTACGGGGCTATTTTATCTGCGCTCTTGTAATTCAATTACCTTTTCAAGAGTGCTATGGAAGATAGGTCCGATGTGGTTGACGTGCTTTGTGTGAAAAGCAACTCCCATGCTGTCCACCTTGCGGGCGAATACGTTCTCGGCTTGCAGCTGCTCGACCATTTTTTCTACCGCTTCGGCAGTGCCGGCAACTGTCACAAAATCTTCAGCGTTGTGGCACGCAGGGTACACGTCAGGAGGACAGCGCCGCTCTGCCTCTTCCCACGTGAGACCTAGAGAATTATGTATAGTTTAGCATTCTTGAAAGCAATAGGAAATTCCATGTTTATGGAACTATACTCTCCCGGACAATGGACATCAATAACATTACAGTGCAGCACAGCTATTAGTCGCACAACCTAATGTTTTCGACTATATCATGTATGTCGGAGAAAGGCCGCATGTTGGCGTAGGCGAAGTGGCACGCAAGCTAAACGTACGACTTGGACAAAAATTTGTTCCAATTAGGTGTGTCTGGCTAATGTACAAAAAATGTCTGCGTGCCTACTAAGATTAATTTTAATCTACAGAGTGCGTCACACGTTGGGCTGTTACTCTGAGCAATGTACTGGGAGGGTAAGTCATTTCATTTATACATTTCTCAATGTATAAATGAAATGACCTCCTCTAAGCATACAGACGGGCACATATATGCGCAAAAAAAAAAGACATGGCAATCGAGCTGCTACATGGTCATTATCTTTCAAACACAGCATAAAAGACCTTCTACGCAAAAAAAAAATCGGGGAGAGAAGATGCAAGAACCATAAAATCTCTGCATTTTGATTACATGTTCATGAAGTATAACAGTAATATGAATATTTTAATGAATGTAACGTCTCCAAACTCTGATTTGTTTAAAAAAGACATCCAAGCAAGATGATAGGTGCTGATTGAACTGTTCGCCAGAAAACGCGTCTCTGCTGCCTTTTTGTTCCCAAGCTACAACAACTGGCGATGAGGAAGTAGAAACGAATCTGCGTTGCGAAGGGGTGGCTCCCGTGAAAGACAGAGACAGGGCAGAGCGCACACATTGCATGGCAAAGATTTGGGAATGCTCATTTCTGGAAGACGGTGATGAAGACTTTGGTTCATGCGTGGAAAGATTTGAGCACTACCACCAAGTTTCCAACGTACAAAAGGAGAAGCTTAAGAAGCCGGCCTTCTTAATGGCCACTGGCAAGAACACGTACAAGACGTTCAAGGGTTTGCTTCTGCTGGCGACCTCTTCGGAAAAGAGTCTCATAAAGCTGATCAGGCTACTGAGTGATCATAATGAGATTGCAACCCGAATGATCGTAGAACGATTCCCGTGTGCTCAGATTTGGGTGCAAGTTAAAGAACCCAGGTGGTCGAAATTTCTGGAGCCCTTCACTACGGCGTCTCTCATATCATAGGGTGGTTTCGGGACGTTCAACCGCTCATATCAATCAATCAACAATCGCAGAACGATTCAGACGAAACAGGTGGTACCAAGTAGAAAATGAGACTGTAGCGACGTTCGGAGTTGCGTTAAAGCCTATGGCCACCAAATGTAAGTACAGCCTATTTCTTGACGAGGCACTACGTGACCAGTTCATTGCTGGACTGAGAAAACCTACCTTTCAAACGGGTCTACTAAAAAAAGAGCGGTCGTGTGAACCTGCTTGCGACTTGGCTAAAATGTTAAAATGGCGTGAAACAGGAGTCGAGAGGGTTTCACCTAGCTGTTGTTTGAAAGCTGACATCCATGCGACAAGGAAGTTGGGCAGAAAAGCGACATTTGTGGTCAAACCAGTCAAGCAATGCGAGGCAACAAATACCACGTGTCACCGTTGCGGGCAAGAGTACAACGTTATTTCTTGTTATCGGAATGCGAGGTGCTACAGTTGCAAACGCTTAGGTCACTTGGTTCGAGTATGCGGACAACGCACACCAGGTGCAAAAAAATTATGCCGTTGCCGACCAGCAAGAAAATAAAGAGATGATGCTCTACGCCGTACATCACGACGGCCTTGCGAAGCAGCCATATGAAGAAGCACTTCTGCTCGGATGAAAGCGTGTGCAAATGTAAGTAGAGACAGGAGCCGCTGTTTCTCTGATATCAGTAGACCTATGGAAGCAGCTAGCGAATCCTCCGTTTCTCACAGAGTCTACGGGGAAGCTGAAACCTTACTGAGGAGCACCACTGAAAGTGAAGGAGCAAGCCGAGCTTCCGGTCAAGAACAACGGACTGCGAAAGATTTTACCAGTAGTTATGGTGCCAGGAAACAAGCCAGCGCTACTTGGACGCGATTGTATCGAGAACGAGGACATCGACTCTAATGGAATTCACACGGTGCAAGCGGAGCTAACGGCAGACGACTTTGTGAAAAGGTATGCCAGCGTTTTGACTCCTGGGCTAGGACTGATAAAGGGCTTTTAACGAAATTTTCATTAAAAAAAGTAACTTGCCAGTGTTCTGCAAGGCACGTCTCATACCATACGCCATAAGGGAGCGAGTTAAAGAAGACTTAGATAGCCTACAAGCTGATGGGGTACTCATGCCTCTAACGCAAAGTGATTGGGCCACAACCTTTGGTAGTCGAAAACCAATGAAACAAAGCGCACCTTTGGGGAGGCTATTAGGATACAGTAAATCCCTGTGCTAAACGTGATCAGTACCCGCTGCCAACTGTTGAAGACATATTCGCTGTCCTAGCTGGAGGCAAAGTATTAGCCATTTTGGAATCGTCGTCAACGTACCAGCAAACTGAGCTTCATTCTCACTTGGGGCCCTTGTTGACTCTAAATATACACATGGGATTATTCCAACATGTTCGAATGCCTTATGGCATTCCCGGTGCAGCAGTAGTACTCTGAGAAATCATAGACGAGTTGCTCGAGGCACTAAGTGGCGTAGTTTGTTACCTTGACGACGTGTTATCGCAGGTGCCTACTACAACAAATGTCTGGCATCAGTAGTAGTGCTGCATAATTTTGAGAAGCATGGTGTAAATGTAAGGCACGGAAAGCGCAAGTTTTTTGTAAAGGTCCTTGAGACATCTGGGCCACGTCATTGATGAGATGATGAGACAGGCGTGCACCCTTGTTTTGAAAAGATGAAAGCAATTAGGACTCCAACGCGGAAAAATTGCACGGAAGGGAAAGCTTATTTCGGCATGTTGACATTTAATTCACGGCTCATACTGAACTTTTCATGTGAGCTAAGGCGACTTTATCAACTTTTTCAAAAAGAGAAACCTTGGGCAAAGTCGCAGGAGACTGAAAAGGCATTTCACAAAAGCAGGAAAATGCTCCCTCAGGAATGAGTTGTTATGTTCTACGACCCTAAAAAAAAACAATAGGTCTGGTTTGCGTTGCATCCCCTTATGTGGTTCGAGCAGTTTCATTCCAAGTTGCTTGCGGCCAAGAAAAACCGATAGGATGCACGTCATGCTCGCTAAGCAGCGCCGAGAAGGGCTACGCGTATATCGAGCAGGAGGTGCTGGCTGTGGTGTTCTGGGTAAAGTGCTTTCATAAATACATCTAGGGGCGCGAGTTCACAATTCATTCTGATCACCTGCCACTAGCTAGCCAGCTTGACCAGACAAACCATTTCGATAGATGGCTGTCGCTCGCATGCGACGCTGGATGCTTCTACTGGTGGCTTATCAGTAAGACTGGACGCATAGAAAGGGTTCGTAAATGACTAAAGCCGACGTGCTACCTCAATCGCTGCTTCCGAACGAAGCAGACACGAGCGAGTACCTTCTGTTTTCTATGCTGTTGAGGGAGTACCGTCTTCTGCAAGTAAAATTAAAGCGAAAACTGAAAAAGACCGCACGTTGTCTGGAGTCAAACTGTTCGTTTTGAATGGCTGGCTTGAAAGACTATCATATGTTGACATTGCACGATATTTTGTCTGGCAAAACGAGCTGTCTTTAGACTCTGTCTAGACGCTAACTTCAACCTGGGACACAAGAGTAGCGGTCCCTGAATCTTTGCCGCCAGAAGTGCTACAGCGTTTGCACGACGGGCACCTCTGTACCACTCGCATGGAAATGCTGTCAAGAAGTCATGTGAGGTAGCTGAAGCTAAATGAAGTGATCGAAGAGGAAGTTAGACGCTGTTCAACTTGCCAACTCAGCCAAAACGCAGCGCCCACCATTTCACTGATGACATGGGGATGGCCCACCAGACGGTGGCAACGAGTGCGTGCTGATTTGCATAATACAAACAAGACCAGTTTTTGGTGCTGGTCGATGCCTATTCAAACTGAGTAGACATCATACACACGAAATAGACCACGGCATTAAAGACTGTAAAAAAGCTTCAAACCAATTTTGCAGCGTTTGTGCTTCCCGAACAGATTGCCACAGATAATAGTCCTCAAATTGTCTCACAAATATGCACTTTTCCTGAAACCCAATGCTTTGCAACACATGAAGACACCACCGTACAATTCGGCTCCAAAAGGAGCAGCAGAGAGACTCATCTAGACGGTAAAGCAAAATTTTGGACGTCTACCATGAAATGAGAGGCGCTCGGGGCAAGCCCAGGCAATTAAACATCGACTGTACCACTTTTTCTTCTCATACCGCCTTACGCAGTGCTTCACGACGGGTAAGACTCCTGCAGATACTTTCATGTCTTAGACATTACGCACACATCTCAGCATTTCGCACCCTGAATAAGTCCAGTGGTTAAAGCCTACTTCATCTCGGGATCGAGACGAGACCAAGAACAGAAAAAAATGGAGGGAATTTAATGCAGGAGGACGGGTGCGGATGAAAGGTATTCGACCAGGCAACTCGCACTTGTTAGAAAGAACGAATGTTCGTCGTGTCAGCGCGGCAACGTACATAAAGTGCAAGGCCAGAAGCAATTTATGCATGCTGAATACATTGTCACTTATACATGTACTCCTCTTACTCTACGCAGAACAGGGCGCATCTCTGGCACATCTCTAGCACAACCTAGTCTGGCGATCCCTGCGGCAGCAGAGAAAACTCCTACCGAGGCACCGAACCAACTATCAAGTG